CACACACACACTCACTCCCTCACACACACACTCACTCCCTCACACACACACTCACTCCCTCACACACACACTCACTCCCTCACACACACACTCACTCCCTCACACACACACTCACTCCCTCACACACACACTCACTCCCTCACACACACACTCACTCCCTCACACACACACTCACTCCCTCACACACACACTCACTCCCTCACACACACACTCACTCCCTCACACACACACTCACTCCCTCACACACACACTCACTCCCTCACACACACACTCACTCCCTCACACACACACTCACTCCCTCACACACACACTCACTCCCTCACACACACACTCACTCCCTCACACACACACTCACTCCCTCACACACACACTCACTCCCTCACACACACACTCACTCCCTCACACACACACTCACTCCCTCACACACACACTCACTCCCTCACACACACACTCACTCCCTCACACACACACTCACTCCCTCACACACACACTCACTCCCTCACACACACACTCACTCCCTCACACACACACTCACTCCCTCACACACACACTCACTCCCTCACACACACACTCACTCCCTCACACACACACTCACTCCCTCACACACACACTCACTCCCTCACACACACACTCACTCCCTCACACACACACTCAGTCACACACACACACACAGTTTCCTAATACCAAATATTAGTATTATTTATATAAAATATTATTTATTGAATAATAATATTTAATAAACATAACAACAGCCATCATGCAAGTTGCGAGGCAATTCAATCAAAAGTACAAAGGCAGCGCTCTGATATACAACATTGAAGTTACATAAACATGGTAAGATTTTGCCAAAACTATTTGCTCTGGAACAAATAATAGATTGAGACCAAAGACTGCTCATTAGATTTACCCAAAACGAAATATATCTCATGTTTAACCACAATAGAGACATCAGAGCCAGCGGTGTGAGGCTTTATGAGTGATGAACAGCCGCTGATGCCCTGGAGCTCACATCTCCGAAAAACATCAAAGCACATTTTCAAATAGACATTGTTTATTAACAAACCGCATATTTGAAGTCTAGACAAGTACATTATCACATAAAAAGCTCTTAAAACTACATTCAGTGGCACAAAAAAAGTATTATTCTTAAATTATAGTGGATTTGGGCGTCCGCTATGACGCTCGCTGTGAGAAATACGGCAAGCGGAGTGATTCAAACGGGGATGTGGTTGGAGTAGCTCTGTTATCACTCTGATATCGCACTCTTATCAGCCAATCAGATTCAAGGACCAGAGAGAACTGTTGTAAATATATATAGTTTATTCCTCCATGTGAATATTAAAATATAAACTATAACATGCACTAATAGTCTCTTTTGCTCACCAAGGCTGCATTTATTTGAAATAGTGAAAACAGCAAAACATTATTACAATGTAAAACAGCTGTTTTCTATGTGAATATCTGTTAAACTGTAATGTATTTCTGTGATGCGCAGCTGTATTTTCAGCATCATTACTCCAGTCTTCAGTGTCATGTGATCTTCAGAAATCAGTATAATATGCTGATCTGCTGCTCGAGAAACATTTCTGATTATTATCAATGTTGAAAACAGTCGTGCTGCACAATATTTCTGTGGAAACTGTGATGCATTTTATTTTCCAGGATTCACAGATGAATAGAAAGTTCAAAAGAACAGCTTTTATTTGAAATAGAAATCTTTGTCACATTATAAATGTCTTTACTGTCACTTTTAAACAATTTAATGTGTCCTTGATGAAAAGAAAAAATACCCACTCCAGACTTTTGAACATGAATGAACCTTAATCTGTTCACTTATATATTACAAAAAAAATTTCTGTCCACATTATTGAAGCTTTGATGAATTAACAAAGCCAACTATGACTTTTAATTATTATCTCTCAACACTTTTGATCTTTTTATTGTTTTATTATTATATCCTGCTTAATCTTATGGGAAATCAGTATGTTTTTTGTTATTGATTAGAATTTTAAGTGACATAAAAAAAAAAGTTCAGGATCTCATTAGATCTGCAGCTAGTTTAGCTGTGTTATTTATGTGTGAGTGTGAGTGTGCGTGTGAGTGTGAGTGTGTGTGAGTGTCTGAGTGTGTGTGTGAGTGTGTGTGTGAGTGTCTGTGTGTGTGTGAGTGTCTGAGTGTGAGTGTGAGTGTCTGAGTGTGTGTGTGAGTGTGTGTATGAGTGTGAGTGTGTGTGTGTGAGTGTGTGTGTGTGAGTGTGAGTGTCTGAGTGTGTGTCTGAGTGTGTGTGTGAGTGTGTGTGTGTGAGTGTCTGAGTGTGTGTGTGAGTGTGTGTGTGAGTGTGAATGTCTGAGTGTGAATGTCTGAGTGTGAGTGTCTGAGTGTGAGTGTCTGAGTGTGAGTGTCTGAGTGTGTGTGTGAGTGTCTGAGTGTGTGTGTGAGTGTGAGTGTGAGTGTCTGAGTGTGTGTGTGTGTGTGTGTGGGAGTGTGTGTGTGTGTGTGTGTGAGTGTCTGAGTGTGTGTGTGTGATATATAAATGCAGTTTGTCTCCGGATCTTCCTCAAATACTCCATTTTCCGCTCCGGCTCAGTGAGGATTCTGGGAAAGGCCTTCATTATTGTGCTGGTTTCAGTCAGCACTCCTGAGCTTCTGTTGGAGCCGCTGTATAAATAGAGCCTGAGTCCTCTCTACTGACTCCAGATCAGCGTAGAGTGACACCAGAGCTGGATTCACCCTCATGACGGGACAGAAGCGCTGATGAAGGTTTCATACGCTCATAATGAGACTCATACAGACCAGCCCTCATTCTGTTTATTGTGCTTTCATGGAGATCTCTCTCTCTGTGTGTGTGTCCTCGCGATTACCTGTTTATGGTTCAGCATTAGTGTAAATGAGCATGTGAACGTCTGCTGGAATCCTGAGTTCAGTGCTCAGACTGAGAAACACTTTCAGAGTCACAGATGGAGATTCAAAGCGTTTAATGTCATGTGCAGTTAATGGAACTAGATGTGAGTTAATGGAACTAATAAATTATACTAAAGTCTTATCAGTTATCAAAACAATCACCATACTGACCATATCAACTTTAATGATAGTTTATTGAAGCAGCATGATGAATTCTTAGAGCATCTACTGCACAGAAGCATTTAGGCCAGTGTTTCTTCAATCCCTAGTGGGACTAGTGGAAAAAAGCATCCAAAATACACGTTTAAGTGTTTTATTTTTATTCTTTCATTTATTGTTTTATCTGTTTGTGTGTAGATTTAAATTCCAATCCATATCTTTAAAGAGTTTTGTTTTCTTACACACTAAACTTTAGTTTTATTCCCCTCTATATTCTGAAGCCTTTTACTGAGGGATTTGGTACATATTCCCATTTATATATGCAGTATTTAATGTTTCTAAAAACGTGGTGAAAATGTATTTGGTTTATGGAGTGATAAAACGAGAAATCCAGAATCCCCTCTGGAAAAACCTTCATGTCAACAAAGAATTTTGAGCATGACTTTATCTAATGTTCAGATTCCTGCTTTGGAAGTGTATGCAAATGAGTGCATATTTCATTATATAATGCCTCATTTGCATACTTAAACATAACTTTTTAGAAAGCTTGTGAGACAAAACTCTAGTCATGATGAATCAGCTGCTGAAGTGTGGTGAGATCTGATACCTTGTTCACCTCTAGCATCTGGCCTTAAGAGAAATAACTCCTCATCGTGGACTCATGACTGAATGAGTTGTGTGTGTTTGACCTGCTGCCGCTGGATGAATGAGGCGTTACTATGGTAACGGAGCAGCTCCACTGCCCACCTGTGCCTCACATTCACTGCAGATTACCTGACATTCATTTGAACTCTTTAAACATTTGATATTATAAACATTCGTTTTTAAGAAAGTCATCATTGTCTCCCCCTCGTGGTTCCTGTATGACTGACTCATTTCTTCTGTGAAACCCTAAAGGAGTCGTTCAGCAGAATGTTCACGCTGCTCTTTTACATACAGCGCATGAGCTGATGCTGCTGAGCTCCAGGAATTAATTCAGTATCGACTCAGACTCTGTGTTTTACGCCTCGAAACTCTGTAAAGCTGCTTTGGAACAGTAAACATTTTGACGAGCGCTAGACAAATAAACAAAGAAACGCAGATGAAGACGACTCCTCGGGAGCTGGCGCTCATCTAGTGACACACGTTCATACAAACACACACACAAACTCATGCAATCCCTCCGCATAGTGTTATAGAAAGACTATTTTGACTCCTTTAATATATAAAATCACACCAGTTCACTTTATAAATTCACTCCAAACTTTCAAATGGTAGTGTATGATTTATGTTTTTGAAGGAAGACTCTTCTGCTCACCAAGGCTGCATTTATTTGATCAGAAATACAGTAAATGCAGTGAAAATGTGAAATATTATTTCTATTTAAAATAACAGTTTTCTATGTAAATATCTGTTAAGCTGTAATGTATGTCTGTGATGTGCAGCTGTATTTTCAGCATCATTCCTCCAGTCTTCAGTGTCACATGATCTTCAGAAATCAGTATAATATGCTGATTTGCTGCTCAACAAACATTTCTGATTATTATCAATGTTGAAAACAGTTGTGCTGCACGATATTTTTGTGGAAACTGAGACATTTTAATTTTCAGGATTCACAGATGAATAGAAAGTTCAAAAGAACAGCATTTAATTGAAATTGAAATATTTTCTATCATTATAAATGTCTTTACTGTCACTTTTGATCGATTTAATGCGTGCTTGATGAATAAAATTTTGTGAACACTATTCGTAATGCATTAATTCTGTTGTAATAGAACATGAATTGATGGTGTATGCATGTCAGTGGTTCAGACTGGTTCAGTTTCTCTCTCTATTGGTTCGTTATGAATGTGTTGGTTTATTGGCTGTGGTGATGTTTTCTGTTCGTCTGTGCTGTAATCACACAATCATTGCATCGAGCACTAGTAGAGTTCTCCTTAACCGGCTCACGTGGTTCGAGCGAGTCAGTATGATGGTGATCCTGCTGAACTGTGTAACGCTGGGGATGTACCAGCCCTGCGAGAACATCGACTGCTCCTCCAAACGCTGCCAGATCCTGCAGGTCAGTCTGAGGAACCAGATTCATCAGCGTTTCATAGTTTTACATACTTGCCTGTTAATGAGTCTTTCACTTCGTTAATCAGCTCTTTCTGATCTCGTGAGCTTTCAGCACATTAACTAACCCGTTAAGCATGCGCTTCATATCTAATATTCAGATGATTCCAGATCATCAGCGTCATCTAGAGACTTATCATCAGAGCTTCATGTTCATTAGCTGATCATTAGACTCTGTTGATGTCAGTTGATTTAATTGCATGGCTGATTTCTCTCTGTCTCTCAGGCCTTCGATGCATTCATCTACATCTTCTTTGCGCTGGAGATGGTGGTGAAGATAGTGGCTCTGGGGATCTTCGGCCAGCGCTGTTATCTGGGAGACACCTGGAACAGACTGGACTTCTTCATCGTGATGCTCTCTCTCTCTCTCTCTCTCTCACACACACACACACACACACACACACACACAGACACACGCGCACACACACACTCACGCACACACGCAGACACGCACACACAGACGCACGCACGCGCACGCACACACACAAGCACACACACACACACACACACACACACACACACACACACACACACACACACTCACTCACTCACAGAGAGCTTTCAGATGGTAACCGTTACACTCTTCAGTTCAGCGCTCAAACAAACCCATTACAGGAGTTTGATTCCTGAAGTGCTGAGCTGATGAAGCGTGATGTGTGTTAGTAACTCAATGCTCTCAGTTCAGATCAGCAGTGATTCAGGAGCTCTGGAGTTTCTCCATTCAGAATGAATGATGCTGTTAACACTGACAAACTGTAAAATCCATAAGGCTGTACTATAATAATATAATTGTGACATTTAGTATAAAACACACCATCATTCAATTTTTTTCAAAAGAAATTAATGCTTTTGTTCATCAAGGATGCATTAAATCGATCAAAAGTGACCAGTAAAGACATTTACAATGTTACAAAAGATATTCACATAGAAAACAATTGCTTTATTTCATAATATAATTACTGTTTTTTTCAGTTTTTTTGATCAAATAAATGCAGCTTTGGTGAGCAGAAGGCACTTCTTTCAGAAACATTAAAAAAAAAACTTGCCAACCACAAACTTGTGAATGTTATTTTATTTTGTGGTTTTACAGCATTAATGTCTCTCGTTAAACCTACAGACAGCACACAGTTTGTTTTGATCTGCAGCGACTGAAATGCATCGATTCCACTGATGTATTTGGCATTGATTGTGTATGTGTGATCAGTTCATGTGTTCACTGAGTGTCAAACAGCAGACTATCTCACTCATTCATCTCTGTCTCTTCTGTTACGCTGTGTGTTTTATTTGTGTCTTGTCTGTGTTCTGTATGATGGCAGATCTCCTGATCAGTGTGTAAATGCAGGACAGATGGAAATCTCTGACACGTGTGTGTGTGTGTGTGTGTGTGTGTGTGTGTATGTAAATATGCATATGATCAGCTGTCAGAGATCTTCAGAGAAGCTGTGTGTGTGTTTGAGGAGCTTCAGAACAAACAGTGCTGAAGAATAAATGTATAAAACACCACCTGTACTGTGTTAAACTGTACACAGATGAGCTGTGTGTTTATATCGTGTGTGTGTGTGTGTGTTCAGGGTGGTGGAGTATTCTCTGGACCTGCAGAACATCAACCTGACGGCCATCCGGACGGTGAGAGTCCTGCGGCCGCTCAAAGCCATCAACAGAGTCCCCAGTGAGTCTGATCTCTGCTCATTTCTGCTGTGTGGAATCAAACCTGACTCTGTTTCTGATTGTGAGTGATTCTTCAGTGCTGAATCATAAAGGGTTCATGGACAGGAGACGCAAACACTCCTGAGGATCTGCTGAGAAACCATTAGCTGATGAGACACGATAGCTTTAACACCTACAGAGACGTTACTGAGGATGAACCTGATGAAAGCAGGAGAAAATTACATGAACAACCCAGAGACAAACAACACTCTTCCATTATAAGGGTCAGACAAAAAACGAGGATATTCCATTCTGTGGATTTATCAGGGTTTCTGTGGGTCTTAAAAAGTATTAATCTGCATTTTCATAAATTAAGGCCTTAAACGCTCTTATATCAGAGCAGAAAGTCTTACATTCATAAAGTCATGGCATTAAATGTCGCATGCAAAGCAAAACATTAATATCATTTTCAGTATTTTTGTTTTTCAATATAAATATCAAAATATCCTTAAATCAAAATGTTTACTTGAAATGCAAATTAAAGACATGAAGTCTTCTTTTCTGAAAAAAGTAGCAAAAGTAAGTGAATTTATGCTTACAACAAGAACCAATATCTGTCAATGCAACAGTTTTTTTCTTTAAATGAAGTTGGTTTTTCTGGGCTTTTTTGGCAGACATTTGTTCTTGTTTTAAAGGGGTCATCGGATGCGAAATGCACTTTTACATGTTGTTTGAACATAAATGTGTGATGGCAGTGTGTGTACACAATCACCCTATAATGATAAAAATCCACCCAGTGCTTTTTTTAATCTCCTAAAATCATTACCCCTTTCTCAAATCAAGCCGTTCTCTGATTCCTGCCAGTGTGATGTCACACAGACCCAGGCCCCTCCCACGATTGTTGACTGACATTGGTGTCTTACCTTAGCTCCGCCCTGAGTGAGCTGTCATCAGTCCGCCATTGTTTCACCGCCGGAGCAGATGTAGACAAGAATGTCTCCGATTAAGCGATTGAGGTGTTTTGTTGTTAGATGTAATAATGAACATAGCAGTCGTCATTTACTCCCGACATCTGAGCCGATCAAGATGCAGTGTATTATGTTTGTTTTTGAAGGGAATGCGTCCCCGATACCTAAATGCGTTTGTGTTCACGCAAATCATTCATGATCCAGCTTCACCTACAGAAGAAGTGAGTATAAGGTTTTTTATGAATCTTTGCAAATCGCCTTTCCCAATAATGTGCTAGTTAGCAAGTTCAGAAACGAATGCGGCTAAAGTTTCCCGTCTCAGAAAACGGCTCGTCACCCCATGGAAGAGAGGGGCGGGGTGAGCAGAGCTCATTAACATTTAAAGGGACATGCACCCAAACGAGTCGCTGTGAACAGAGCTGTTTTTGACTGGGTAAATAGGGTTTTGTTTTACACCACCATTGAGAAATTTTAACCAAAGTATGTCATAGACTTTTCATTAAAACCCTAAAGTAGGGGTATTCAATTAAAGTTCCAAGAGGTCCGGTCACTATATTTCCTTCCCAGTGGAGGTCCCTGGACCACAAAACCAGTCTTAAGTCGCTTGGATATATTTTTAGAAATAGCCAAAAAAAAACATTGTATGGGTCAAAATTATCGATTTTTATCATAAAGATCATGTTCCATGAAGATATTTTGTAAATTTCCTACCATAAATATATCAAAACTTAATTTTTGATTAGTAATATTCATTGCTAAGAACTTCATTTGGACAACTTTAAAGATGATTTTCTCAATATTTAGATTTTTTTGCACCCTCAGAGTCCAGATTTTCAAAATATTTGTATCTCGGCCAAATATTGTCCTATCCTAACAAACCATACATCAATGGAAAACTTGTTTATTCAGTGTTCAGATAATGTATAAATCTCAATTTAAAAAAATGGACCCTTATGACTGGTTTTGTGCTCCAGGGTCTCATATATGAATAGTTACACATTTCCGTCTGGGCACCAGTAATGCTTTGTAAAAAAAGAAAAGAAAAATCTATCTATAGAAATATATATATAGAAATATATCTAAAAAAAATGGGTTACCATACTTGGCCACATGTCACGTCACTCTCACTTCTTTCAGAACATGCAACACAACTCCTTATTCAAGCTCTTGTTCTGTCCAGGCTGGACTATTGCAATGCTCTCTTGGCAGGTCTTCCAGCCACTTCTATCAAACCTCTACAATTAATAAAAAATGTCGCTGCAAGATTAATCTTTAATGAGCCGAAAAGAAAGCATGTCATACCTCTGTTCATCAATCTGCACTGGCTACCAGTAGCTGCTCGCATTAAATTCAAGGCATTAATGTTTGCCTACAAAACCACCACTGGCTCTGCACCCACTTACCTAAATTCATTACTTCAGAGTTATGTGCCTCTAGAAGCTTGCGTTCTGCAAGTGAACGGCGTATTATTGTGCCATCTCAAAGAGGCACAAAATCACGTTCACAGACCTTTTCATTAACTGTTCCCTCCTGGTGGAATGACCTGCCCAACTCAATCCGAGCAGCGAGTCCTTAACCATCTTCAAGAAACGACTAAAAACACATGTTCCACCTTTATTTGACCCTCTAACTCTAGCACTTTCTATTCTATTTTAATTCTACTTTATCTATATTTATCTTCGTTTTTTTATAAAAACAAAAACAAAACAAACAAAAAAACACTAGCTTTCTATTTTTTTCTATTCTATCTACTTGTTTTTCTTTGTGTGTGTGTGTATATGTGTGTGTGTATAATATATAAATATATATATATATATATACACCTTGCTACGTGTACTGGGTTACACTAACAGAGACTTGTCATTTGCACTTATATATTGTTGCTCTTTTGTTAGTTTTGACTGCTTTTATTGTCCTCATTTGTAAGT